TTTTTTTTGGGGGGGGGGGGGGGATGCGAATATGTGTTCTCTACTGCAAATGCGCTTTATATATGCATTGTATGAATCTGAATTTGTCAGTTAGACTTGAATAATTACCTCTCTGAGAAAAAAGGAGCAGGAAGTTAATAACTCCAAGAGGGTTTTCCTCTGCAAGTACTACTGAGTCATAATCATTTTGAAATTATAATTGTAGAAGGCTTTCTTTTGCAACTATATTGTTCAGTCATAAGCATTTTCTAAAATTGTTGTGTGTCTAAATTCTGCATTTTTCGTTTGGCTGGTTTTGGTGGCAAAGATTATTTCCAGTTAGAAAGATTTTTACATTTTGAAGTAAATTATGATCATGAAGATTTTAAGCATGACACATGAGTGACAAAAAATTTTAGAGACTGAAATGTCATGACTCTGCTTAACGATTTTCTTTGTCAATTTATCTGTTATTTTTCTCAGTTTTGAGAAAACATTCAAGTGATCCAATGTAGGAAGTTATGTACTGGAGTGTCTAGAGACCAGCATTATATCCTTTTGAGTGTATAATGATTTGTTTCATACAGTGTTGTCAAAGGCGCGCTTAAGCCCTGAAGCGAGGCTCAAAGCATGTTGAGCGCTTCGCCTCGCTTTGTGTGTGCTTTAGTATCTCATCAAGGCTCCAAGGCATACTTTCCTTGCCAATGAGTGTAATCCTGAAAAGACACATTAAACAATTGATATTTCACTTTCTCGTAATTTTTTTCCAATTTCTTTGCCCATATATTTGTTATTCATGCTTATAATTATTAGTGTTGGACTACATACAAATATTTGTACTTTTTCTCTAGTTGCGCCTTTTTTCATTAAAGCCAACGCTTTATTTGCGCTTTGCGCTTAAAGCCCCAACGGACTTTAGAGCTTTTTTGCGCTTTTCACTTTTGATAGCACTGGTTTCATAGTAGGTAAATTTTGTAACTTGGAAGTGCGTAGACAATAAGTTTCAAGATGCATTTATGCCGGCATAATGGACAAACATGGAGTTGCTCTGATGCTGCTGAATAAGATTATTTTGCCTAGAGACTAAAGTTGGTCAAAAGATGGCTTTACCTTTTTATTTGAGAAACGGGATGTTAATTAACAAGGAGTAAAAAAATATAAGAATACTTACTATTTACTAGTATTACTTACCAAAAAACTAAAGGCTTACCTATTTATTGCTCACAAGTCACGGCCATCTTAACTCGTTAATCCTGTTTGAGAGGTCAATGCACATTTAGACCAGTATTCCAACTCTGTCCTTTCTATTTCATATTAAACTCTTGATAGTGAATGCATCTTGATGGATAGGGAACAGTATGATGCCTCGAAATGATATATGTGTGCTGTTTATACTGATATCATTATTTTCTCAAACAAATTTCTTCAGGCATAGGGTATTGGTCATAGGTGGTGGAGGAGCAGTAGGTTTCTCTGCAATTCAGCTTGCAGTTGCTGCAGGCTGCCATGTCTCTTCAACGTGCGGAGAAAGTACAAGTATAAGTCGCATTTTGGCAGCCGGTGCGGAGCAGGCTGTTGACTATACCACTGAGGTGACGATGCAGTAGTAGTTCACATGTTTTATCATGTTATTTTATTTGAACATGATATACTTGATAGGTATTTCAGTGGCGTTATTGGCATAATCCCTCTCCCTCTCCCTGTCCTTGTTACAGGATTGACATGTTTGCTTGTTTACAGGATTGTGAAATAGCACTTAAGGGGCATTTTGATGCTGTCTTGGATACAATTGGTGTGCCAGAGACGGAGAGAATAGGTATAAATCTTTTAAAGAGAGGAGGACACTACATGACGTTACAGGTTAGGAGTCATCTTACTCTTATAGCCATGGCAGAATCTTCTGCCTGATTTTCTTATAAATGATGAAAAAATCTGTTATATGTTCTTAAGAAAGATTTCCTGTTCTTTGGTCATAGGGGGAGGCTGCTTCATTCACTGATAGGTACGGACTGGCTATTGGTCTTCCTCTAGCAACAGCCATCTTGCTGAAGAAGCAAATCCAATACCGATATTCTCATGGAATAGGTACATGAGATCTTCAGAATGTTTTTATGATCTGTTTGGAAGAAATGCTTTTTTACTAATAATTGTGAAAACAACTCTTTATCCAAAAAACAAAAAGGGTGAGAAGATACGGATATGAAATTTTTGCTCACCCCTAACAACATGAGATATATTCTTCCTGTATGCCGGTGAATGTTCAAAATGAAGTGAGAAGTATAACAATAACAACAAAAAACCCAGTATAATACCTATTCCAAAAGTGGGGTCTGGAGGGTAGTGTGTACGCAGCTTTACCCTTACCTTGTGAAGGTAGAGAAGTTGTTTCTGATAGATCCTCGGCTTAGGGAAAGCATAGTCAAATCGCTTGTTGAAAAGAAAACAATAGTGTATAAACCATGGAAAGGAAACAATAACACGAAGGATAACAAGAAAACTAAAGCAAAAGAAACAACTGGTAATAGTACAGGTCTAGGTACTTGAAAATATGAGAATACTATAGATCCTACTGGTAAGAGAAGGATGCGCTCGTGGCTACTTACTAGCCTTCTACCCTAATTTTCGATTTTCACACCTTCCTATCAAGGGACATGTCCCCGGTAAGCTGAAGATGTGCCATATCTTGCCTTATCACCAATCCCAATACTTTTTAGGCCTACCACTACCCCTCTTTAGACCCGTCATGGCCAACCTCTCACACCTTCTCACTGGGGGCATCTGGGCATCTCCTCTTTACATGCCCAAACCATCTCAGCCTCGCTTCCCACAACTTGTCTACCACGGGGGTCATTCCCACCTTGTCTCGAATATCTTCATTCCTAATGTTATCTCTCTTAGTATGCTCACACATCCATCTCAGCATCCTCATCTCCGCTACTTGCAATTCTGGACATGAGAGCTCTTGACTGGCCAACGCTCCGCTCCACACATTATAGTCGGTCTAACAACCATTCAGTAGAACTTACCTTTAAGTTTAAGCTGCACGTTTTTATCACACAAAACACCAGAAGCACACATCCATTTCATCCATCCCGCCCCAATACAATGAGTGATATCTTCGTCAATCTCCTCATTACCTTGGATTATAGACCCAAGATACTTGAAACTTTTTCTCTTCGAAATGACTTGTGTATCAAGCCGCACTTCCACGTCCGCTTCGTGAGTTACATCAATGAACTTGCACTCCAAGTACTCTGTCTTAGTCTTGCTCAGATTGAAACCCTTGGACCCCAGGGTCTGTCTCCAGACTTCAAACCTAGTATTAACACCACCCCTTGTCTCGTCAATCAGTACTATGTATTCTACAAATAAAATGCACCAAGTCACCCCACGGATGTGTTACGTCAATTCATCTATCACCCGGACAAAAGTGAAAAGCATAACAAGAAATTTAAAAACTGTAGGTTCAGTACTAGGTGATTACTTCACTATGAGCTGCAACTCCTAAAGTGAGATTGATATTTGGACTTGATTCAAGACTTTTGTTACATTATCTCATAGACAGGCTGTTTTTTGTACTGAAGTATTGGTTGAAGAGATTGACAGAGGTTTTGATCTGAATAATAGTTGATAAAGCTACCAGCGAACCGTTTGAATACCTGGGTTGTGATGTTAACGCATTTCTAAGGCAAGAACTGAATTGTTCGAAATAAATGTTTATAAGTCAAAATATTGAGTACGGGGAAGGAGGCATTCTTCATCCATTTAATGATTTGAGATGCTTTTTCAAGTAATTTGAATAGTATAAATATCAGCATATCTTCATGCTTTTGACAGGTTCTAGAAGAACTTTTTTAAGCGAGAAAAAACACACAAATTGCTGACCTTCATTGAAGTAGATACCAGGGGAAGAAACCTTCATCCGTTTAACGATATCGAATACTTTATTAAAGTGGATAGTATAGTCATTATGATATGGCTATGACCTTAACCTTATCCTTGGGATAGTATGTATATCAGCATATTTTTCTGTGTATTAAGTGAGTATAACGTAACAAGTGTTGTCCTTCATTCCTCGTTATTTGTG